GCAAGAGAAAAAAATAATCGATGATGATGCGCGCCTTGTGATGGTTGTATTAGTTTAAACTTATTGTATCAAGACTATTAACATTGTGACACATTATGAAACTTTAGTTATAAATGAACTCCCACCAGATATTTAATTAATTGTAAACGAAATAAGAAATTAAGAAAACGTATGCTAAGTGCGTGCAAGTGCTCGTGTGGTTGCTCTAAAAATTAAAAAGAAATCACGTTTGTGTACGTTTTTAGATTTTCTAAAGATGTGTTCTTATATGAGATTTATATGAATATTAAGCAAGAAAGCCGGTGTTTAAAAAAAAAGCAAGGAATCCGATAGGTATGTTAGGCGTGTGCCCTAAACAACCAAATTAATATATTTTCGTAAAATTATATTCATTCGTTTATTAGGTTTATGGAGTTTGGTTCTTGCTTTTCTGTTGGCATTTGTTAGATAAGATTTTCTTTTGAAAAGTTATTCATTGCTTAAAATTTTAAAGATGGATATTTACTTGGTTGAAATCCCTTATATATTAAAAAAAAAGTATTTTAATAAATGCATTCACATCTTAACTGACACGTGTCGACCTCACAATCATTTGGTAATAATGTGTTTATACAATAATGTTTAAAATTCATTATTTAATATGTTTATACATTATTTTTAACTAATTCATTTCATACATTTTTAGTCTTTGTATTAATAAATTAAAACTTTATATGTGAAACTAATGAATAATATCTTTACTGTAAAAAAATTACAAAATCATTCAGATTCGAATCAATTAAAATGTTGCGAGGAAAATGTTTGTAGAAATTGAAAATTTCGTACCTTATCGAAGTTGGTCATGGTTGAGGCTTTGATATACAATAACAACAAATACGGTGATTGATTATAAATTAAAGAAACTGATGTGAAAAACACCACACATAAAATCAGATCTTTAGTTTAGTCAAATATTAACATTTATCTAAATTTTTCATATCAGACCAAGAATTAGAAACAAAATCAAATTGGTAGAAAAAAAAATCAGAAATCAAAAAACTTTAAACAGAAATAAAAATCACAAAATCGATTAAAAACAGAATTCATGTACCAAGTGAAGATGTCACTTTGTAATATATATTATTTTTATTGTTTACGGATACGATTTGATTTTCTTCATATGAAAAAATGTTATTAATTTCTAGGTTTGTTTTATTTTTACTTAATTTATTTAAGAATTTACTATCATGTGTTATTTTGAACAAAAATGTTTTAGATCTTAATTATGGTATATTCATATATTTATTATCACATTTATATATTTTTACATATAAATACATGTACACATTGACATGAGCGACTACAGTGAAACCTCTATAAATTAATAATGTTGGGACTACATCAGAATTTTATTTTTTTATTAATTTAGAGAGATATTAATTTATAGATATACTAACTGAACCAAAAACTCAATTTGGAACCATAAAATTATATTAATTTATAGAGATATTTAGTGTATATTAATTTATCGAATATTAATTTATAGAAGTTCTACGGTATATAACTAAAATTTCCACCACAAGTGAAAATTTTAATTAATATTGAAGTTGAATTTTTTAATGTTTTCTTTCACTATTGTTCAAAATTGAAGTGAAATGTTTTGTGTTAATAATTTTATTTCTTTTTTTCTTCAAATATTATTTAGATTTTATTTGATTTTACATGTCTTTAGAAATTATAATAGGAAACTATTAGTTCGGCATAAAAAATGTATAAAATTTATATAAAACGAAACCAAACAAATAACAATAGTTTTTGGTTATCATCAAAAAATTAAAAATATCAAACATTTAAACCAAACCAAACCAACCAAAATAATTTTAGATTTAGAATTATAGTTATATTTTAGGACATTAAAAAAACAACGTAAAACTGAACTAAAATCCACACTAAACAGATATAAGATCATTTTTATCTTAAAAGTAACAAAAATAATAATCTCGCTACATGCAAGATGCGGGTCATTACCTAGTGTAATAGTATTATAAAATAGGGAACACTGCAAACAAAAAGTCGTAACCGTGGCCGCTATTGTCGTGGCAGAGGCAATTATCAACACTTATGGAACCAACGCTCTTTCCCAATCTCAGTGGTCTTGACAGCAACAATTTCCTTGAACGTTGTGTTTCTAAGTTCGTATGGAATGAGACATAATGTGCTAGCCTTTTCTAGTATTTGTCTTCTGGTTCAGCGATTTTCAGACCACTTTTTCATTCGTAGGAGTTAGAAACTAGTTTTGCTAAGATGGGTGACATATTAAGCTTAATAAATAGAAGTCAATGTAATTCTAGCCTCAAATTTAAAAATATAGATCAATGTTTTTTAAACTATAAAAACAATAGTAATAGTATTCCCATTACAAATATATTGTAATTTGGTTCCCCTCTGAGTCTGATGGGCACCTGCAAGACTCAGTGAGTTGCTCAGCGAACGATTTGATTCGAATGTAAAAAAACATTATTCTAAAGTTGGTGAATATTTCTCACATTAAGGGATAAAAAATGTCAAAATCAATGATCATTTTTCAAAATTTCTAGCATGGTCAACCAATATTATTATTCATTCACCACCCTCTCTCCTCCTCCCCCACCCCACCCACACACACACACACACACACACATTTTTGGTCTTTTATGTGATTGATCCTTTTCGTTGGTAGCTGCCAAGATTATTTTAGAAGGATCAATATTCTACAATTGCCTTTTCAAAATTTCAAACATATTAAAAAGATATCTATTTGATTAGGATTGCCTTCTGGAGATTTTTTTTTTTTATAGAAAGCATGTTGAAAGGACAGTTGAATATTGATCCTTCCTCAAATTGATCAATCCCATTAAATCAAAGATAACGGCCGTAAAACAATAGAATCACCTTTGATATTATACTCTTTCACTTCTTGTTACTATTGGATCATATTGTCGCATCTAACAGGCCCAGTTACGAAGTCTAAGCAAATTCGTTCTGCACTTTTGTTACCTTGAAGCCTTCTTCAATCTGATGAAACTAAAGAAAACTACTGACCAATTCAGACCAACTCCTTGGTTAGATTAACTACTTCAAGTAGGCATGCGGTTCGGTTAGTACAGCTTCTGAGATATGTTCTTGATGGTTGTCATAAAGTACAAAGCTTGAAATCAAGGACAGTTCATTTGGGGATATTGGACTGCACTCTGGCACTGCATCCGTATCACAATATGAAGTTTGTTTGGATGTCATCATGTTTCTTATCTCCAAGAGGATGCATGGATATTTCTCATGCTCTCCAATATACATGCAACCTCTCCGGAGAAAAATTTTTCTTATCAAATTTGTAGCATTTTTATGAATAAAAACTTTGGTGTAGTATTTGAGCGCTAATTGAAGCAAATGATGATGCCATGCTTACGAAAAGCTGTTGATGTAAGATGTCCATTCTGAAGTAGTCGCAGACGTAGTTACTGAAGCAGACGTCGTATTGAGTGGTGAAAACCATGTGGAGTCAAGATGTTGAGCTGGAGTCGTGTAGACTTGGAGAACAAATGTGTATCTTGGAGAAAAAGCAAGCAGAATAAATTTGCAGAACAAGTTTATGACTTAAAGAAAGAGGAATAAGTATATTTCAAGAAAAAGCAAGTTGCACTTAATGTTATGGAAGATGTTCATATTGTGTTCCTTGGAGACTAGGATTTCGGGAACGTGAAGAATAACTATAAGAGAGTTATGGGGTCGTCTGCAGAGAGACAGAGACACAAAGGCTGATTTTATAGAGAGAGAAGCTCTTAAGGTGTTCTTGGGTCGTGCTGAAGCAAAGGCTGAAGTATTTGACGGCAGAGAGACATAAGTGAGTAGCTTAGGAATCCTTCAATGACGTGTGTTAGAGTGTTAACACTAGACGTGTAAAACTGAATAAACAAGGTCTTGTAAGATTGTTTAAAGAAGATTTCTAATAAAGCTATTGGTGTTTTGTTTCTTGAGTTATCTTCTGCATTACTATATTGTGGTGTCATATTTGCACTTACAAAAACTATCAAATTAGAAGAGAATGTTTTTTTAACTGTGAATGATTGTTTTCACCATTTGATTGTCGTCTTTGGACTGTTGTACACCACAAAGAATGAATGAAATGTGAAGGGAAAATAACCGGTTATGAAACGTCTATTATTGTTGTTTGTGTGGTGATAATGAATCATTTACAGTCATTTCACGATTATCTTCTAAAGAATTAATTTCGTAAAGAATTATTCATTATATGTTGTTGCACTATAAGCTGAGTTCTATATCGGCGTAGAAATGTTTTCTTCAGCATCCTTGTCGTCTTCCTCCATCATCACAAGGTTCTCTATGGTCTCGAGGAACGCCGTGACTTTCACCAAGCTCTTCTCATCAATCCTAGGAACCGTATGGCCTTTGGGATGATGGACAACCACCGGATTCTTGAACGACTCTATGAGCTTGATTCCGTAAGGTTTCAGGAAATCAGTTTCTCCTGCAACAAAAAAAAAACATATTCTAAGATTCGATCATCACTTATATATATATTAGATCATATCAACTTACCTAGAAAGTGGAGTGAGGGAGTATCAATGGAATAGGAATAAGCATCTTCCACAACCTTGGTAGATCTTAACATAGCTCCTCCAATAATGATGATAAACTTGATTTTTGGCACTTTCTGGAGTGCAATTCCCTGTAAGAACTCAAAAACATGATCACATAAATGTATTTCCAAACAACAAAAGCAATATTAGTAACATACCTTAGCTTGCAGTCCTGGTAAGCCCCCAGACAAGATTCCCCCCTGCAATATTAAGAATAATAAATAAGATATAGAGTTTTTGAGAGAAATGATGCAAAATCAAATAAAGAAAAATACAGTATTTATAAAATATATAACCACACTTTTTATTTACATAATAGTCTTTTAAGGAAATTTTAGTTTAAACAAAATCATAATTTTAGGAAAATCTTGTAAAAATTAAAAGGGTTATTTATCAACTTTCATAAATAAAAGATAGTAATTGTTTGTATAATTAAAATATAAACTTTGGAGAATACTCATTTTTAGAGATAAAACTAAAGGAATACATTGAAGATAAACACATTTCCATTTTAAGATAAAAATATGGAAATATATCGGAGATAGTCTTAGGTTTTGTAGAGCACCAGTATGTACGACGAGATCAGACATAAGTATTTTGGAATGATTTAAGAATTTCTAGGCCAGTAGATCCGTACATCTCCGGACCATATAATTTAACTTATTGGAGAATAAATATTTTCCAACATGACTCAAACCTGTCACACTGTCACTCGTTAAATCTCTTCAAGAGTCTTAATTAGCCACTAAATCAATTCGTCCGCATCAAAATGTAGATTATACCTGAGAGAACCCAATGAGACCATCAAAAGGACCAAGCTTGATCATACGATCTTCCAAATACTCCAAACAGTTCTCGAAATTCTCATACTCAGTGAACTCCTGATATTTTTTTTTTTTAAAAAACGTTCCAACGTCAATTCACACGACGAAGAAGCTTCACTCTGAATAAACAAAAGAGAAAAGCAAAGAGGGACCTTGTCGAATTGAAACCACTCGTAATAAGGAGGGTCGAAGATTCCATCGACATCAGATTTGCCACGACAAGGAAAAGGCGCGTCGAGGAACACGAGATCGAGTCTGTCGATAACAGCTTTAGGCCATCTGTTAAGCTGTATTTTCATTATCTCTCCGCTTGTACGGAACCCATGGAGACATAGAAACCTTGGTTTCCTCACTATTGATCCTCCTTCGCTTCCCATTTGTTTTCTTTTTCCTTCAGACAAAAGTTCACAGTTGGGTCTCTCTCGTAATAAACCTCTGTCTTCTTCTTGCTTTTCTTCTTTTATTTTCTTCTTCGAGTCGTGTTTGGATCATATATATAGTGCGTTTTCTTTGTTAATTGCACATGGAAAATAGGTCGCTGTGACAGGGAAATTCAGGTTTTGTTTTTGGCATTGCTGGCAGATGTTGGTGACGATCGACGGCTGAGAAACGATTCTTCTGACCAGAATTTTAAACGACGGTCAAGATGGAATCTCCTCTCACTGAAATTTGGAAACTAAACCAAACGACATCTTGTGGCTTCAAGATAGGCGTCGGTCAATTAAATTGAACCGGTGGTTGAACTGGAGTTTCAAATCAACAGTTTAGACCATAAGTCTTGGTGTTTTCGGTTCAGTTACGATTTTATTGATATATATGAACCGTTCAATTTATAAAATTTGGTTTATTTTAATTTAGTTGTTTTGATTTTTGGTTCAGTTGACAAACCGATTAATGATCAACATAATTTTAGGTCCATTTTTAGATTATTTCAAATAATTTGGATAAGAAATCAGATATTTAGATAAATATCGGATAATTTTGATAAATTCTAATATTTTAGATAAAAATATTTAAGTAATTGGGTTCTTTTGCATAATTTTAAATGTTTTGGACAAAAAATGAATATCCAAGTTATAACTATTAGTTTAAAAATATTTGATAATCTTATAACTAAATATAATTAATATTTTAAATATATAAACTACAAACTATATTTTTGGACAGTTGAGTACTCCTTCGGTTCTGTTTCAAAGGTATAAGAACTATTTATAAATTCCATTTTGGTTTAGGGCTCATTTTTTTGTTCGGCTTTAATCAGTTTTCGGTTTTCGGTTATGGGTTTATATGCCATGGCCTAGCCATAAGTCAAACGAGTTTAAGATTTAATAGAAGGATTATGATTAGCATCTCTAAATTACATTTTATAATTTTAAATATGAAGCTTTTGTTTTCCAATCAAAATGGAATTTTAAAGTGAAATTTCATATTTGAAATATTACTACTAATAACGTCAAAATTAAAATTTCATATTTTTATTTATATTTTGGTTGTGAGACAAGATATATAATATTTTTTTAAAGATTAAAATGAGAACCAAAGTGAGACAAGAGGCGGTACGGAGAAAGAAAGCAAAGAAGAAGAAATTATTGAAGGAGGCAGAGGAAAAGGTTAGCGCTGACCGCTGAGTCTCAAAGGAACGTTCACGCCAGGTTAAGAAGTCAATGCATAGGGACATCTCCCTAATGTCACCATTTTTTTTTTTGAATGAATGTTAAATTTATTCATGCAAAAACATATTTACATCTGGTGCAACTGTTTGAAAGAATCAAAAATTAAACTTAGGGACCCAAGAACAAAATTTCTGAGTTTAGGACTCCACTCTAGTTCCAAACCAAGTAATGAGCCCATCTTGGAATTTACCCCTTCCTTGCAAAGAGAGAAGCCAAAGACGGACTGTTTTATCTACAAACTTTGCAAGTAACTGAGCATCTCTTGCTGTCTCTCCATGTCAACGAGCATTCCGCTCTCTCCAAATGGCGTGGATAGCTGCTTGGAAAGTGTATCGGATCAAAAAGTTCTTTGTGGGAGTAAGATCAGGCCTGGTTATGACTGCAATGAGATCACTCCAATCCGTAGTGAATCTTGTAACAACCCATAACCAAACCCAATTTGTTTTTTTTCAAGTATAATGGGCCCCTTACGGCCCAATTGCACACAAGACCTAGAGTTCCAGCAACTCTAGTATAAAAAGGACCCTAGCCTCCACTTTTTGTCTCATTAGCAAACTGGAAGCGAAGCTCTGCAGAGAAGTCCCGGAGACCGGAAGTCCTAGCCGTCAGCCTCTCCTCTCTCTCTCCTCCGCGCCGCCTCTCTCTCTCTCTCTCCTTTCCTTCTCTCTCTTCGCCGCCTTCCTCTCTCTCTCCTCGCCGTGAGCCGGTGGTGGTGGTGGTGTTGTTGGGTGTGTGAAGATTCTCAGATCTCATCTCTCTTCCCTCTTGCTTCCAGATCTAGATCTCAGATCTCTTGTTAAGGTGAGGTGATTCGAAAACCCAGATCTGTTTCTCATAATCTCTATTCTGGTTGATGCGGGAATTAGGGTTGGTTAGTCCTTGTTTGAAAGTTAAGTTGATAGATCATAATGGGAGTTAGGTTGTTAGATGAATGGATCATGATGCATAAGAAGCTTCACACTGTTTAAATGGGATTTAATGAACTGCCTTGTGTTGATGTGGATAATGATTGGTGATGAATGATTGTGTGAGTGATTTGTGTCCCATTCAATGATGATGAATGAAAGCTAGGTTGCTAGAAAGAAGTGAATGCTTAAGGTGATAGATCTGTAATTGGCAACGGTTGAGATAATGATGAATGTGAAGTGATCTCCTATAGATTCTAAAGGGAAAGATAGATGAATATGAATGAGATGTCTCTTAGTGTTTGTGTATAAGAAGATGAATGCTATGTGAATTGCGTGAGACACCGATAACGGGTGGCGTCTAGAGTCGAGTATAGGAATGTGGACAAGAACGAGTTAAAGTGAAATGAGTATGAGAATGAGAATGATAAGAAGGCTGAGTACGAGTATGAGTATGAGTATGAGTAAGAGTATGAGTTTAAGTATGAGAATGAGTTGAGTATGAGAAAGAAGATGAGTATGTGAATAAGAATGGAGTCGTGTCAATGAACTTTTTTGAAGTCCTGTTTGGGCCACCGAGAACGGGTGGGCGTCTAGAGTTTAGGATGTGGCCCACGGGACAGTAGGCTAACACGAGGTACCCGTGGGCGAGAAGTGAGTGGCCGTGAAATGACGGCGTACGCAGAAGAGACCTCTGGGAGGGACCTGCGGGATAATAAATAGGCGCCTTAAGATCGATTCAAATATGGCTATTAAGACCGGGGTGGCAGACAGTGCTGGGAGCCAACGAGCTGCAACTCGGATAGTTATTTAGGAAGCTGTAGGGGGGACGGATTTCCCGAGAGAGGGCGCCCCTTCCAGGTTAGGCCGTAACGTGTAGGGACATCCGTAAACGGCCATAGGTCCTTAAGTCTAGGTTGATTGATGAGTCTAGTTTATAGATTGTTTGCGTGATTGAATCCATGTGAAGCAAATACTGAGTTCTTGCGGTGTATGAATGTTAGGGTGTTAGAATTCCATATTGAGATGTTGTTGTATGGTCTGTATGTTGCATATTGAATGTAGTGGCTGGTCGGTCATGTTTCTGTATGAGGTAGTGTAGAGAATTATGCGGGCAGGCTGGCTAGAGTCACTTCACTGAGTAATCCCAATTGCTCATCCCTCAATTTCCGTTTTCCCTATGCGCAGGACTGTATGTAGAAGTATGTGGATATGGGTGGATCGAATTTCATTAAAGATGTGTCCGCCGACTCCTGAGACCAGTAATGACACATAGGATTGTCTAATTGAGTAGACACATGTCCGTAGCACCCGTTTGCTGAACCCCGATCGGACGCCGGGGGAACGGATTCTTACAAATCTGCTCTGGAGTAAGCCCCTTCAAGTGTCGTCCAGATCCTTTTCGTATACCTGCAATTGAAGAAGAGGTGCTCACAAGTTTCTTCCTCTTCGTTGCAGAGTACACACGTTGCATTAATGTCACAATCTTTATATTTGCCATTAGAATTCTTTCCTCCATTCCCTTTTTAGTTCTCTACTTGGCAGTTAGTTTCGATTTTTCCTTATAGTAGCACCGAGACCCCGTCACCGTGCTTCCTATCGGCTATCATCCTCCTCTGGGACCTCATTGAATTATATAACTTGAGTTTTGAAGTTATATGCCTCGAGTTTCTTGTTCACTGAATACTACATCCTTTATTCTCATAGCACATTTTCTGTCACAGTACTCCATGAGCTTGTGTACCTCTTAGTATAAAAGACGACTGAGAAAGACAAAAGTGCTTTGTTTAGGGTTTAAGATAAGGTTCAAGAAGGCTTTGGTGCACCATCCGAGTACCTTTTACGTGTCACACAAGCTTCGACCTAAGGGAAGCTTATCATCATAAACCTATCTTGATTAAAAAGCATCCATTGACACATAGGTAGGTCTTATCTTATGAGTAGATCGGAAAAAGTAAAGAGACAAGATTACGTTCGTTGACTAAGAAAAGCTTGTGAAGTTAACAGCCTGTGATTGAGGGGATATAGTCATAGCTGTAAACTGTAATATCAATAATGAAGAATCTATAAGCTGCTATGATTGGTCAAGTAACGACGATATTTTTGTATCTATCACACTACTATAATATAACGTTGCTTGCGTTATTATCAAACCACCAAATTAAAATATTTCTCAAATAATATATAACAGATAGGAAGCACATGAGAAAGAAACGTACAACACACGAAATGATCAGACAAACGAATAAGTCAACCATCTTTACACAAACACTAAATGAATCTAACGGCGACCTCCGTCTCCGGTGACCGGATACCCGATACCATGTCTTCTCGCCGGGAAAACCAAGAACAACAAACCACAAATAACACCAACACCCATCGGAACAATATCCAAAACCTTCTTGGTTTCTTGCTCTGGCGCCGGGTAGAAACAGCTCACGGCGTTCTTGTCCCTCATAGCCACCGCACCAAACACAAGCATAGACAAAACAGCGTGGATCCAGTCAACGAACCGGATCCTGTATTTACTCAGATCGGGCAAACCCGAACCGGACGGGTCGGGGTAGTCAAAAATCCACATACCCTTGCGAGTAGCAAACCCGTAGTACACGTTACCGTCTTCAGCTTTGACGCTGTCCGTGAAAGAGCTGAGGAAACATGAGATGGAGAGAAGGGTTAGGAGAATTAAGGTTAAGACACGTGTCGCGTACTCGCATGAGCCGTTTGTTGTGAAAACAGGTATGAGTAGCTGGAAGGCTAAGAGGGTTCCTGTTGGAAGGAGGTTGGCTAAGTTTGCAGCTGATGTTAGGGTTTGTGACATGACTTGATGAGATGTGGAACGTTGTCTCCTTAGTTGTGGAGGTGGAGACTCGGAGGGATCTTGCTCGGCGCCATTGGCTTGTGGGTTTCTCTGCGTCAAGGAAGATGACATGTTGTTTGATCTCTCTTTCGTGTTTTTTTTTCTGTTTGCGTAGAGGATTGATGGATGATTTAATGGATGAACATGATGGTGTTTATATATACATATTTAACGAAAAAAGAACGTGAGGTTAAGTGTTGAATATAGTCGTTGACTTGCTCAAATGTTTTTGAGAAGTCAAGAGAGGCGAGAGCTGGTCTCATTCTTATTCTCAGCCTCCCTCAATTACACTTTCTAACGTGTTTCAAAGTTGACTATTAATATACTCGTTTCCTTCTTACTTGTCCCTCCAAGTTTTTAGAATATAATATATGAGCAACACTTCTTTTGCGTGCAAGTAGTATTAGCTTTACCACTTTAACTTGCACTATGAAAATTAACCCCTCAAGTCTTTAAGCATGGTGTTGGGGTTTAGGTCGAGATTTTGGAAGTTTTTGAATTCAGATTTTTTGGTTCCATTTAGGTTTTATATATGTTTGGATCGGAATAAAATATAATACTTCAGATTCATGTAGATTTTATAACTTATTTTGGAACCGAATTCATTTCAAAGTCTGTTAATAATACTTCGAAATAAGATATACTAGATGATAATCCGCGCGCATACGCGGGGTGAAATTTTTATATAAATATTTATTCATTAAATGGTTTTTAACACTTTGCAATACTACAATATTTAACGATTATAAAATGATGAATACAAATGTTGGTATCTTAAATCTTCATAGGTCTGAACGTTTGAGACTTCTTCGGTTTTAGTTTGATTTACACGTATTTTCAGTTTTTGGTATTATTCTCATAAATTCTAGTTGAATTTTACTAATTATCGAATTGGATATGATTTTATCTTCTCAATTAGTTTGGATTGGATTGTAACCAATATCTGAAATCATCCCAAAAAATATTTGTTAAACATTAAAAGTTAACAAAAAAATCAAAATATTTAAACTATTAATAAATCTAATTTAAAATTAGTTAAATTATCTAAACAAACTAAAAGATATTTAAAAGGAAGTAAATAAAACAAACTACAAAAATCTTCTGAATACTATAATTTGTATCTACTAACCTCAAACCTTTTCACTGAAAATTTTAAATTAACATATTTATATTATGAATATCTACTAATGATACTTCATATTTGTACGATTTATGATAATTTGTATCTTCTTTGGAAAAAATCAAAGTTAAACCATTGATCATAAAATTTTCAATGTGGGATTTTACTATTTTTAGTTATTTATGGTCATTTTAAAAAATTAAAAAAATTTAACCTATAAGAAAAAATTTAATGTTTTTATTCTATATTTAAATGTGATTGTTTAATTTATTTTAATAATTTAAAATTAAACAAAAAAGAGAGAGGATACAAAAATATGTATTATTCATAATCATTAATTACATATATATGTTAATCATATTAGGTAATTCCGTAGCTTTTATTTAAGGAAATAAAATATATTGTTTTATACCTAGCATAGTTGGCCCCTTAAAAAATGTCTATATATTATAGTCCTAAATGCAAGAAATTAAATGTTACATTATTTCATTCCTAGCAAAGTTGGTCCATTAAAAAATGAAAGCTGAGATCTGTGAGCTTGACACATAAGCATGCTCTCCAAGGTTGTGCATTTATGAATGCTTTACGTTTAATATATAAGGGATATATAATTACATCCTATAAATAAATCTATAACATTATTTGAGAAGTAAATTTGCTTAGTTGTCAACTTCTGCTTGATTTTAGGTAAATTTGCTTATTTTTATGTTTTAATAATTTATTATATAATATAAACGAATTTATGTTAATAATATTATATTTTTAGAAAATATGTTAATTCTTTTATATTAGATTGTTATCTTAAAAATATATTTCTCAATTATTATTTTAGAAGTAAATTTGCTTAGTTGTCAACTTCTCCATTATTTTAGGTTATTTTGATTATTTTCATGTTTTAATAATTTATTATAAAAAAAAAAAAGAATTTATGTTAATAATATTATATTTTTTAGAAAATATGTTAATTCTTTTGTATTAGATTATTATCTTAAAAATATATTTTCAATTATAAAATTTAAGTGAATTTGCTGATTAATTTGTAACTTTCAACGCTCTATAACATTATTTGAGAAGTAAATTTGCTTAGTTATCAACTTCTCCATGATTTTAGGTTATTTTGCTTATTTTTATGTTTTAATAATTTATTATATAATAAAAACCAATTTATGTTAATAATATTATATTTTTAGAAAATAAGTTAATTCTTTTATATTAGATTGTTATCTTAAAAATATATTTTTCAATTATTATTTTAGAAGTAAATTTGCTTAGTTGTCAACTTCTCCATGATTTTAGGTTATTTTGCTTATTTTCATGTTTTAATAATTTATTATAAAATAAAAAAAAAGAATTTATGTTAATAATATTATATTTTAGAAAATATGTTAATTCTTTTGTATTAGATTGTTATCTTAAAAATATATTTTCAATTATAAAATTTAAGTGAATTTGCTGATTAATTTGTAACTTTCACGTTGAAAGTTAGAGGAGTTAATATCGTTTATATCCTTAATGAATAATTAAATTTTTAATATAATTAAACATAAATAAAAAACGAATATCAATGATTTTAGATTTATCTAAAACTATTTTATATTGGGTTATAAAGTCTTTATTAACCTTGTAAAATAATTATATTAGTTAATATATAATTAATTATAAATTAAAAACGAATTTCATTTATTTGATAATTATCCTTATTTTAATTTTTTATATTATGTGATAAAGTCTTTATCAACCTTAAAAAATAATTATATTTGTTAACATATAATTAATTCTAAATTAAAAAATGAATCTCATGAATTTGATAATTATCTTTATCTAACTTTTTTATATTGTGTTATAAAGTCTTTATTAACGTTTAAAAATAATTATATTTGTTAACATATAGTTAATTATGAAAAATCAATTCGGAAAGAATTTATGTATAGATAATTTATATTGTGTTATCCAAAACATTATTAAAGAGAATTTTTTTATGTCTAAAAATGATATTAATTTATTACTAAATGTTTTAAGTTCATGAGTATTTTTAAATATAAGCTGTGTAATGAAAATTATTTATATGATGATGAAAAGTTTTATATATAAAAAGAATTTGTTTCCTTTATTATTAAATATTTTGAGTCTGTGAACTATAATTTATTATAATTTATATAAATTGATTATATATTTATTTATAGATATTAGTAAAATTATTAAGCCTGCAAGTGCGGGCAAAACACCTAGTTATGAAATATTTGAAACATATTTATGTATTGAATACTCATTTTATACAAATTCACATATTCGAATTCAGTTTCTAACCATTCGGATTTGGTTCACAAAATATCTATAACTCAAAATATCTTATCATATATGATCCATTTGAATGGATTCATATTTTTAGGTTTGTATCTCGGATTCACTTACAAATACCCGAGCATAAGGAGAAAGAAAGTCACTTCCTCGAGCAATGGTTATGAGTGTTAATCAAATGATCCATAAACCATACATATCCATGCACACAACTCGTGTATATTAGATTTTAACGTGGGCATCATTAGCCATGCTAGCAGATTACAGTTGTGTATCTTAACTCCACCATGCGAACAAAATCTCCTCGTCCCAAGACATGAAATGTACAACACATTCAATCCTATCACACACACACAACGTTACATTAGAAATGACAAATGTACACATACAACAACCATACCAACCATCTTCCTCAACCTCCATTAGATTTCCTCTATCAATTCATCTTCCATTATCGCAGTCAATAACGAATACTTCACCTTCAACGAGATCTTCCCCTTCTCCACCAATAACCTCGCACCAGACACAACCCAATACCCCGGTGACTCTTGCGGCCCTCTCGTCATCTCACTCGTATCCACAAACTTCAAAAGCTTGGGAGCTTGCACAGGCACAGGTGGTCCACCAGGATAGATAGCAGAGTTTATATTCACATCCGCAGGTCGCGGTGGCGGTTTCTGCGCCGCGGTGAAGTGATGGCTTATAAGCGTTGAGATGAGTCCTGACTTAGGAGCAAACCCTACAGCTTCATCCCATTCAGAGTTCTTCACACTTGTCGCTCCCATGACTTTTGAGAAACAGAGGCGTAAGAAGAGCACGTTCTTGAATCCGTGGCTCTCTACGTGAAGCTGCGCACCTGTTACTACAGAAAGATCGTCGTCTGATTCTACAGGTGCTGTGCAGACGTGAGAGTAGTTCTTCCAGTTTACTTTCTCGTAGTAACGACGATCGTGAGATGCTTGTCGCATAGGTTTGTTTGGATTGTCTTCGAGCTGGAATATCTTGGGGAGAGAGGAAAGGTGTTGTAGATGAATTGCTAAACGGTTGCTTCTTCTGCCTTCTAGGTAGAGCCTCATGCCAGTGATTGGCCTCTTACCAACATCAACCTGAAACCAAACATCTTATGACTTGAGGACTTCTGACAAAACCTGAAACATATGTAGGGATGAAACAGAACTCATACCGGAGTGGTATTGACATATAGCTTAGGTCCAAAGAAACGGAATTGCAGAGACGGACAACTTTGCTGCTTCCTTTGTGGACCAAGAGGGAGTTCACTAAACACTGGAGCCCACTGCCTTGGTAGCTGAAACTCTAGAAACTGATGTAGCTCTGCAATCGGTGGTTTATCTACAAAAAAACAAAACTCAAAATATTATTGGACTGAACATGGACGCTGCTTTTATAATATGCTTAAAATGATAACTATATCAAACGTCTATTCCAAAGGTGATATAACATGTAGGCTTACATCTTAGATAGAGATTAATGGCGTGGCTCAAGAAACCACTTCCTGGAACTCCATTAAGCAAAGAAGTGATTGGAATAAAGGACATTGAGATAGCATCAGGCTCCGTCTGAACTGTTTGCAGCCAATCATTATGCATTAGGTTTCTATTATCGTTTCCACCTCGCCTTTTGCACATGAAGACAATGTCCTACAAATACATGTAACTCATGAGAAAAGAAGCAAA